ACTAAAATGCTTCTGAACACAAAAGAAATAGTCACAAGAATGAAGAGCAGCCCACAGAAATGGGAGAAATCTTTGCCAGCTATACATCTGAAGGAATTAATACCGAGAATATACTCAAAAACTAAATCCCAAAAATCAATGACCCAATGAAGAATACACAAATGAACTGACAGAGCTTTTTCAAAGGCAGAAGTCCAAATGACCAAAACTACATAAAGAAATGCTCTCCATCCCTGGCATAAAGGAAATGCAAATCAAAACCATACCAAGATTCCACCCCCCCCGTTAGAATGGCTATCATCAAGAATACAAACAACTAATGTTTTCAAGGATATCTAAAAAAAGGAACCCTCATATGCAGTTAGTGGGAATGTAAATTAGTACAACCAGTATGGAAACAAGTAGGATAACAGTGGAGGCTCCTCAAAACTAAAAGTAGAATGCTGTGTGATCCAGCATTATCATTCATAGGGATATCCCTGAAGGAATGCAAGTCAGGTTACAATACAGACACCTGCACATCCATGTTTACTGCAGCATTATTCACAACAGCTAAGATATGGAAACAGCCAAGATGCCTCACTACTGATACATGGATCAAAAATGTGGCATTTATACAATGGAATTTTATTCAGCCTTAATAAGAATGAAATTTTGTTGTTTGCAGGTAAATGGATGGAACTGGAAACATCAACTTAAGTGAAATTAGTCAGGTTAAGGAAACCAAAGGCCCATGTTTTCTCTCACACATGGACTAGAGACCTGATACACATACAAGCAGTATTATGAAGACAGGTCTCACTCACTAAGGGGCTCATTTAGAGAGAGAGAGGGTAAAAGGAGGAGGTTAAGGGTCAATATGGTTGTTGTACTTTCTGTAGAAGAATGCAGAATTTTTAAACCTTTTGAAACTACCATAAGAAGGGAATAAAGTAGAAAGCAAAAAAGAGGGAATGACCCAATTTTGTATTAATAGACACACATATATACATATGCACATATCCATATACATATGGAAATGTCACAATGAAACATCCTGTATAGCTATCTTAATGAAACAAAAAATGTGCTGGGCACCAGTGGCTCACACCTGCAATCCTTGTGACTCAGGAGGAAGAGATAAGGAAGATCATGGTTCAAAGACAGCTTGGGCAAATAGTTTGCAAGACCCTACTCGAAAAACACCTATCACAAAAAAAGGGCTGGTGGACTGGCTCAAGGTAGAGTCCCTGAGTTCAAGCCCCAGTTGCCCTCCCCCAATGCAAAAAAAAAAAAACACAAAATGGATTTTTGTTTTTAAAAATGGAGAAAGACAGAAATGGAAAAAGTCCTGTATAGGGAGTTGATACTTGTGGGAGGGGTGAGGATATAAAGAAAGGGTGTAGGATATGGTATAAATACTATTAGTCATGTATGAAAATGGAAAAATGAGACCTGTGAAACTATTCCAGGAATGGGGAGAGAGAGGATAAAGGAGAATGATGGAGGGATGAATTCAACTATAAGAACTTTTGCAAATGTCACAATGTTCCCCCACTACAATAATTTTTTTAAAACTCAGTAATGTAAAAAAGTTTTTTAATCATTGTGTTCATTTCACTGAGCTTCAGAGAGAGAAGTTTACACAACCACACTTAATCGGCCAGTTTTCCTACAAACTAACACCCATGGACTTACTATGCATGTTAGTCTGATGACCTCATACCTCCTCACAAACATTATAGCACTGACATCACCCAACAGCAGATGTGAGGAACAGAGCCTATGCTCCAAACACCTCTGCAATAGCTGCACCAGCACAGTAATCATTCAAACTCTCTGCATAGATTTCCCTATAAAATAAGAAGGTTGGTCTAAATGACATATAAGGTCAGTTTGGGTTCTAACATTCTATTAACATTTTGGTCACTTTTGCTCAACTGGGCAGTTCTCAAATTCCTGACCCACAGAAAATGAGTGAATTATTTTTTTCCTGTTTACTATGCTAAAAGTTACTATGCTAAAAGTTATATCTGTTACACAGATATAGGTAACTAACAGATGGAAGATGACAGGCCCATCTGCTAACTACTGGTGGCATCCAAGACTGCTCCACAACTCAGGGGTTGCACTGAGCCCAGGGGCATCTTGATATCTGCCCTGCAATAAAGCATCTATGGCCTCTGCAAAAATCCCAGTGCATTTGGTGGGTGTTGACAAAAAATTCTTAAATGATACATACATGCTAAGGGAGCCAGGGCTCATGAACTCATCCTCAACTCAGTCACTGCTAGAGGCTGGGGTATGGGAATTGTTTGTTTCATAGAAGAAAGATCTCTTATTACAACATGCTCCTTAACTCACCTGAATTTGTAGAATCTGAAATTCAAGTGAAAGTAACCATGTGGTAATTTCCTGATAATCTGTGTCACTGTACAACTTTCTTTACATCTGTAAATTAGAAAAACAAGAATTTTCAATGGAATTTATTCAGCCTCAAAAAAGAATGAGATTTTATCCTTTGCAGGGAAATGGATGGAACTGGAGATTATCTTAAGTGAAATTAGCCAGGTTCTGAAAGCCAAACACTGCATGTTTTCTCTCAGATGTAGAATATAGGCCCAATAAAATACAAAGAATATTATGAAAAACAACTCAATCTAAGGGGAAGTCACTAACGGGGAGAACATTTAAAGAATGACGTAAGAAGTGAATACGGTTGATGTATTTTCTATACAATAATGAATATGAAGGGGAATAAAGCAAAGGACAAAAGGAAGGGATGAAACAATTAGGGTTATAATACGTATGTCATGGAAATGTCACAGTGAAACTCCCTATAGAGCTATCTTAAACAAAAATATCTTTTTTTTCAAAAAAAGAGAACAGACCCAGTCCCACCAAAAACAAAAATAAACTAATAAAAAACACAAAACAAGAAAGTAAAACTGGTCCTGTCTGGGGTTAGTTACAGTTGGAGCAGGGAGGATTATAAGAAAGGGTTGTGAGAGGTGAATATGATGGAAATATTATGTACTCATGTATGAAATGGAAAAAGACCTGTTAAACTATTCCAGGAATAGAGAGAGGAAATAAAGGAAATGATGGAAGGGATGAATTTAACTATGATATATGTAAAAACTTTTGTAAATGTAACAAAATATACCGTACAACAGTACTCAATAAAAAATATTTAAAAAAAGAAAAACCATACACTCCACCAGACCCTTTGTGCATTGAATATTTTCATATAGGGTTGTGGAAACTATTTGCCAGAGCTGGCTTTGAACTGCGATCCTCCTGTTTCTACCTGCTGAGTAGAGAGAAATGCAGGTATACATCACAGGAAAACAGCCCAAATTTCATATATTACTATTGGTTTTTTATCACATATGTATCTATTCCTAAACAATACAGTGATTGGTTTTGGATGGTTTGCTCTGTTTTGTTCTTTTAGGGGTTCACTGTACTTCTTAACCTAAAGATTTAGACTTGGATGGAGGTGTTGCTAAAGGGTAGAGCAACTGCTTTGCAAGTGAAAAGCCCTGAGTTCAAACCCCAGTATACCAGTCCCAACAGTCCCACCAAAAACAAAAAGTCTATAAGATCTGTAGTCTTAAGGAAATTTAGAAAAGAATTTAAGCATTGAGTATATTTTTAACAAAATTAGCAAACCACTAATTTTCTTCAAAATAATCAAATATGAAGCCCACACATTCATGCTTCACAACATAATTTTAGAGCTCATAAAATGGTTAAGAACAATCCTCACAGTACAGTACTGAGAAATCATGAAAAAAATAGTTAAGAACAGAGGCTGGGCAGAGTGATTCATGCTTGTAACAATACCAGCTACTTGGTAGGCAGAAATCAGGGGGATCGCAGTTCTAATCCAGGAAGGCAAAAAGTTAGTGAGACCTGGGCTGGTGATATGGCTCAAATGGTAGACTGCCTGCCTAGCAATTACAAGGCCTGAGATCAAATCCCAATACCACAAAATAAAATCCCAAAATAGCAAGACCCCATCTCAACCAGTAAGCTGAGCATGATATTGTGTACCTTATTCTTATCTGTGTCCCAAGTCCCACCACCCCAAAATAATCCCATCTGTGTGATGTGGCATAGGGAGGAGGATCAAGGTCTGAGGGCCCCCTGGGTAAAAATCAAAAGACCATATCTGAAAAATACTAAAGAAAAAAGGTCTAGGGGTGTGGCTCAAGTGGTAGAGCACCTACCAAGCAAGTAAGAGACCCTGACTTCAAACACCATTATTATCAAAAATTTAAAAAGGTAAGAACAAATCTGAGAATGCATTGCTTGCCTAGCAGAGTCAAGAACTGGGTTCAATCCCCAGCACTGGAAAAAAAAAACAGAAAAATTAAATGAAAAACTATTCTTACATTCTTAATACTGCAGGCACACTTAATTTTGAACTTTCAAACTCATTATTTTGTAAACCAACTCATAAGGAAACAAAACTGAGGATATTCAAAACAATGAGCATGTGCAGTAAAGAAATTCCAAAAGAATTCTAACAATGTTTGGAGAAATGAAAACATAACTGCCTCAAAGGATACATTCTTCAGATACTACTATCTGATTGACTGGCTTCTAATGTATTCATTAATAATCCAGAGGAACTGTAACAGCACAATTATGTCAATTGAAAGAGATGACTTCAAATTATTGTCTTTCCAACAGCACATGACCCAGTGACTCAGGCAGACACAGTATGAATTTGTTGATTAAGTAAACATGTGATGACCTCAAATCCAGATCAAGCTTTTTGGCTGTCAATTTGCTCAGTATATCAAAAAGCTGTCAAAAAATAGAATTATAAATACCATTTTGAACAATGCTGTATCACTTGGCCTCAGGAACAGTCACTTTTACCTGCCAACTTTTTTCTGTTTTGTAACAAAGCATAACCCAGTGAAATATAATCTTCAATGTCAGGGCTCTCAGGCATTTTTTATGCTGTGAAGCTCATCGCTGTTCTGCTTTTTGTGATATCATCTAAGTTTTTAAAGTGCAGGCTCTCTTTTTGTGAAAAAAGAAAAGAAAATCTGAAAACCAGTGATACAAAACACTGTATATCACATTGTTTATTCACATCTAGATTCCACTTGCATACTTGCATCAGACTGCATTCTTTTACCATTCAAAATCTTCTCTTCTAGTACCATTCCTCTTGCCAAATTATATCACTAATCACTCCCAAACTATTTTGATTTATGGCTTTAAAATATTACTTCTTGGGTCAGAGATGTAGCTCAGTTGTAGAACACTTGCCCAGTATTTGCAAAGTCCTGGGTTTAATCCTCAGCCAGAGGGGAAAATATGTGAGTGTGTATATATATTCTTTATATAATTTTTTATTCTTTTCCAAGTTTGCTAAAATAATTACATATTACTCATAGAAAAGAAAAGTATTTCATCTTTTGAATATCTTTGTCTGAAATCTCCTTTCTAGCTACAGGAGTTTTTTTTACATCTGGCTAGCCTTACTCTATTTCTTTTTGTAATGGTAATGAAATTTGAACTCAGGCCTCATGCATGGTAGTCAGGCACTCTAACTGCTTGAGCCACTCCACCAGCCTATACTCTCTGTACTTTCAGTACCCATCTCTTCCTTTCAAGTAATTAAGGTCTCTAAATTCCATCACTCCATTTCTAAAATAATTCAAAATACCCCTGCAGTGAGCTGCCTAAGACCCTCTGAGCTGTCTCTCCCTCTCCTAAGAGTTATTTCAGTACAAAAATCAGAAACCACTTCCAAAAATGATTTCTGCTCAAAGATTGTAATTCTTGTCCACCAAAGTTCCTATATCTAGTTATCCAGTTGCAAGGTTAAATTAGCTTCCTCTTAATCTGTCAGAGCAGCATAGATTTGGCAATAAAGCTTACTCTTTAACACCAGATATCTTCCTTCTGGAAAAAGCTTCAGTGGCTGAACATTTATTGACTATAGCAATGAATAGTGCATTACGGAGGCAGCTTTCAACGTGAGTGAGCAACAAATTGTAAGATTTATTAATTAAAACTGGGTTTAATGGCACATACCTATAATGTCAGCAATTGGACAGCTGAGGTAGGAGGCCAGCCTGGGCTACATAGCAAGATCATGTCTCAAAAACCAAAAATAAGCTGGCGGCATGGCTCAAGTGGTAGATCACTTGCTTAGCATGCATGAAGCCCTAGATTCAATTCCCAATACTTAAAAGAATAAATAAAGTTGTGTTAAAACACAAAAATCCCATACCACTTGACTAGGAAAGTTCTTAAGGCACTGTGTTAATATTTACCTCAGGCAACTTTTCAGAGTGTGAAGCTGGAATGTGGCTTCAGAGTTAGAGAGCCTCCCTAGCAGACACAAAGTCTGAATTTGCACCCTAATGCCACAAAAGAAGTATTGAGCAAATGTGATGTGCAGAAGATGCCTTCGTTTACAAGTACACCATGACAGTAAATTTGCAGAATCCTAAATCAACATTTGACAACCAAGTTCCTGTGTATAATACAGTGAGCTTCAAAACTTCTTCTGGACTGAAACAATGCTCACCCTTTCTGTCCTCTCAGAGCTTGGTAGTCCTTGTCTTCCTGGAGGAATTTCTCACATTGAAAGCAGTCAGCATACTCAGAAATGACAGTGCTGGTTTTAAATGTCCACGCTGAATTTTCAAGTCTTCAAAAGAATCTATCCCACAGAATATGATCTGCAGATTTTCTGATATGATTCCATAAAAAAGCAAATATTAGAAACAGATATTCCAACTACTAACAATTATTTCAGATAATACACAATTTTCCTAAAAACATTCTCGTTTTGTTCCTCACAAATCTCTTCACATTCAACCTCAAAATTTTCTGAAAAACCAATGTGTTCTACTTTCAGCCAAACCCCCAAATCATAGTACTGTATTTTAGCCCTGGGAAACCACAGTGACAAACCTGGTCTCTAAACAGCATCTACAGGCGCCCACAGTGGCCCTGGTCGCAGAGCTGCTCTCCAGGACAGCAGTGTAGCAGGAGCCTAGCCAGAGCGCATTGAGCCTCAGACAGCTCTGGGGGAAGAGCAGTGGCTTCAGGGCAGGAGGAGAAGGTGTGACTCGATGTCCCCATGTCACCAGCCAAGGGCACCAAGGCGGGCAGGCGGGGGGAGGGGGGGCGGCAACACACCACACGCCTGTCCAGTCCCGCTGCCCACAATTCGATGCCACTGCAGGCTGACTCCCAAAACTCCACACCCGCAGGCCTGACCCCTCTGCCCGCATCCCAATGCACCTGCAGCCGATCCACCTCCGCCTAACCCCCGCGCACAACGCACCTCATGCCTGACCCCCGCCACCCCGATGCACCGCTCGCCTGACCCGCTGCCCACAACCCGACGCACCGCATGCCTGACCCCACCACACACCCGACGCACCTCCTGCCTGACCTCGGCTGCCAGATGCACCGCTAGCCTGACTCCCACTGCCTGCATGCTGAAGCACCTCCCACCGGAACCCCGCTATGGCATCCTGAAGAACCTCCCGCCTGACCCACAGCGCCTGCAGCTCACCTCCCGCCTTCCCGATGCACCGCAAGCCTGACCTCTGCAGCCCAAAGTACCTCCAGTCTGAACCCGCAGGCAGCTACACCTCCCCGCTTTGAACCCATGCACATACATCCTGAGGCACCTCCACATTACCCCATTCCTTCCCCCCCCCTCCAGGCATCCAAACACATCTCCAGCCTGACCCCTGCCGCAGACATCCCAAAGCACCTCCCACAAGAACCCCGGCTGCGAGGATCTTGAAAGAACCACTGCCTGACCCACGTCGCCAGCAGCCCAACTCCCGCCTGACCCCCAATGCCCAATGCACCGCAAGCCTGACCCGCACTGCCCAATGAACAGCTCACCTAACACCGCTGCCCACAAATCGATGCACCTCCCGCCTGAACTCCACCCAGGACATATCAAAGCACCTCCCGCACGACTCCCGCCGCGCGCAGCCGAAAGCACCGCCTGACCTCAGGTGGCCACAGACCTGTGCACCTCCTGCGTGACCACCACCACCCAACACACTGCACGCCTGACCCCGCCAACCCTAACCCAACACACTGCACGCCGGACTCCGCCGGCAGCCTCCTCATGCACCTCCCGCCTGCCCCCCGACGCCCGAGCCCACCTCCCGCCTGACTCCCATCGCATGACGCACCTGCAGCCTGACCCCTGTCCGCCTGATGCATTGTTTGCCAGACTCCAACTACCTGCATCCTGAAGCACCTCACGCATGTCTCCCGCCAGGTGCATCCTGAAGCACCTTCCACCTAACTACCTCCCCGCCGCCGCTTGCAGCCTGGTCACCAACTGACCCCTGATACCCGCACCCGACGCACCTCCAGCCTGACCCACTCTGCCTACAGCCCTACCTCCTCCCGCCTGACCCCACTGCACAACGCACCAGCAGCCTGACCACCGCCGCCTGATGCATTGTTCGCCAGACTCCCACTGCCTGCATCCAGAAGCACCTCCCGCATTACTCCCTCCAGGCGCATCCTGAAGCACCTCCCACCTAACTCCCTCCACTTACATCCATAAGCACCTCCCACCAGACCCCCACCGTGCAAATCCCGATGCACATCCCGCCAGACCCCGCCAACCATAACCCCACACACTGCACGCCTGACCCCGCCGCCAGCCTCCTCATGCACCTCCAGCCTGCCACCCGCCGCACGCAGCCCACCTCCCACCTGACCCCCGCCGCATGATGCACCTGCAGCCTGATCCCTGCCGCCCTGATGCACTGCTAACCTGACTCCCACTGCCTGCATCCAGAAGCACCTCCTGCCTGACTCCCGCCAAGCATGCTGAAGCACCTCCCACCAAACCCAGGTCGCTTGCATGCTGAGGCACCTCCCGCCTAACTCCTGCCTCTTGCATCCGGAAGCACCTCCCACCAGACCCCTGCCTCGCAAATCCCGATTCACCTCCCGCCAGACCCCCACCGCCCAATGCACTCCTTGCCTGACCCCGCCCCCACAAGCCCATATACTTCCCGCCTGACCTCCACCGCGGGCATTCCAAAGCACCTCCCTCCTGACTCCCGCCGCTTGCAGCCAGGGCACCACCTGACCCCCGATACCCGCACCCAACGAACCTCCAGCCTGACCCACTCTGCCTGCAGCCCGACCACCTTGCGCCTGACCCATACTGCATGACGCACCTGCAGCAGGACCCCCGCCGCCCTGATGCACTGCTAGCCTCACTCCAGCTGCCTGCATCAGGAAGCACCTCCCGCATGACTCCTGCCAGGCGCATCCTGAAGCACCTCCCACCTAACTCTCCCCACTTGCATCCGGAAGCACCTCCCACCAGACCTCTGTCTTGCAAGTCCGGATGCCCCTCCCGCCAGACCCCTACCGCCAAATGCACCCCTGGCCTGACCCCGCTGCCCACAAGCCTATGCACCTCCCACCTGACCTCCACTGTGGGAGATTCCACAGGATGCAAGCGGCCTGGGTCTGGTGGGAGGTGCTTCTGGAAGCAGGCAGTGGGAGTCAGGCGAGCAGTGCATCAGGGCGTCAGGGATCAGGGTGTAGGTGCATCATTCTGCTGGGGTCAGGTGGGAGGTGGGGTGCGGGCGGGGGAGGGCAGGCGGGAGGTGCATGAGGAGGCTGGCGGCGGGGTCAGGCATTCAGTGTGTCGGGTTATGGTAGGCGGGGTCAGTCGTGCGGTTTTTTGGGTAGCGGTGGTCAGGCAGGAGGTGCACAGGGCTGTGGTCACCTGGGGTCAGGCGGTGCGTTGGGCTGCGTGCAGCAGGAGTCAGGCAGGAGGTGATTTGAGATCCCCGCGGTGGAGGTCAGGTGGGAGGTGCATCGGGTTGTGGGCTGCGGGGTCAGGCAAGGGGTGCATTGGGCGGTGGGGGTCTTGTGGGAGGTTCTTCCGGATGCAAGAGGCTTCCAGATGCAAGAGGCGCCTGACCCCTGCTGCAGGCATCCCAATGCACCGCCTGACCCCAGGTGCCCACAGCCCTGTGCATCTCCTGCCTGACCCCTGCTACCCGACACACCGCACGCCTGACCTCGCCAATCATAACCCAACACACTGCATGCCTGTCCCCCACCGCCAGCCTCCTGATGCACCTCCCGCCTGCCCCCCCGCCGTCCGCAGCCCACCTCCCACCTGACCCCCGCCGCCTGACGCACCACACGCCTGATCCCCGCGACCCGATGCACCGCGCGCCTGACCCCAGACGCACCTCCAGCCTGACCCCTGTTGCCTGATACACCGCAAGCCTGACCTCCGCCGCCCTATGCAGGGCTCGCCTGCCCTGCAGCCCTCGGCCTGACGTAACTCCAGCCTGAATGCCGCAGACAGCTGCGCCTCCCGCTTGAATCATGCGGCAAGCATCCTGAGGCATCTCCCACCTGACCTCCACCGCGGGCATCCGGACGCACCTCCCGTCTAACCCCCACAGCCCAATGCACCGCTCCTCTGACCCCACTGCCCACAACCCGATGCACCTCAGCCTGACCCCCGCCGCGCCCATCCCAAAGCACCTCCCGCCTGATCTACACCGCACGCAGCCAGACACTCCTCCTGCCTAACCCCCACAGCCTGCAGCCCAACGCACCTCCCACCTGACCCTGGCAACCCTACGCACGGCATGCCTGACCCCCGCTGTCCACAGCCCGACTCACTGCAAGCCCGATCCCCGCCACCCGCAACACGACGCACCTCCCGCCTGACCCCCGCCTCCCGCAGCCAGACCCACTGCCTGACTTCCCCCGCCATGCCCGCAGCCCGACACTTCTCCTGCCTGACCCCGCGACCTGACTCAATGTCCTGCCTGACCACCCCACACGGCTCCTATCTCCCCATTCCTGCCCTGTCCTCACCGCCAGGGCCAGGGGAACACTCCTCTGATAGGAGGAGGGACCTACCACTGCCAAGCCCTGCTCCAGAGTGCCGCCGTCCCACGCTGATCACCTTCGCCACTTTCGAGTCTGCCCCAGCTGGCTTGTGGGGCGAGCGCTGCCTGGCTGTAGGGCCGACACAGCAAGCCAAGGCCTGCCAGTGGGCGTGGAGTCCGTGCAGAGGCCCTGCCCTTCTTGAGTTTCCGGCGTAGGCGCTGCCCCAGCGCGCCCCCTGCCGGCCCCCTGCCAGCAACCATGCTGCAGTTGCTTTGCAGTGGACAAAGTTCAGTGTTTACTTATCCCGTTCTCTAGTGCACTTTTATGCCCCTGCCCGAGCAGGGATGCTGGCAGCAGCCTGAGACTCCAGCACTGGGGCCCTGCTTGCCCCCAGCGCCCGGTTCTGCGCATGCAGGAGGCGGAGAGAGTGGACCCTCAGCTGGCCCTAGCCCTGCACCATGGCCACATCTCCAGGAACCCAGGGGCTCATCCCTTGAAGACTCCACCTCACTGGTCTGTCTGCAAGTCCTCCAAAGACGTCATCCTTCTCCAAAGCAACTTGATTTCCTGCTTGTGCAATAAGCCACAGTATTTCTTGCTGTCCCCTCCTGAGTAGCTGTGATTATAGGAATGAATAACCAGAGTTGGCTCTTCCACTTTTAGTTGTCTCTTTGTGATAAACAAGCCTATTTCTCCTGTTACTAAATATTTAGAAAACGTGTGTGCTGCAAAAATGTTATTTAATATTTTTAAATGAAATGGAAGGGTGGAATACTACAAATTCAACTAGCAGAAGAGAACTTTTTGCACAGGTAAGGTTTGACCTGCATGAATTTAATCGCTATTTCTTTATATTGTTAGCCATTTTATATATTCACTTCATTTATTTGAAATTATCAAAATACTTTGCTATTAGCAAGTTCACACATTGCAAGTACAGCTGAATGCCCTCCTAAGTCTGACTCTCTTTAACCCCAGACCTCATAGAAAAAGAATTCAGTGCATTTGCATGTGTGTATTTTAAGCTAGTAAAATGTGTTTATTTTCTCTTTGACACAACCTCCTACGGTCATGTAGACTTTCCCCTCCTTTGTCATGACTGTTGTATGATTTTTGAAAATGGCTGTACCACAGTGCAGTTGGTCCTGTCCCACT